GCAAGAAACGACGCACTCATCACGCCATATTGTAGAATACGTGTTCTCGTAGGTTCGCTCAAAACGTAGACCGATCGATCGGCCATATCGCGACTATATCGCGATCGGATCTCAACCCAATTCATCCTTCGATTGTTAAAATTTCCTTCGAGATCAAGTCTCCGTTATTTCATTTATGAAAATTAAAACGCGCAATAAAGATAGACGCCATAACGAGGACATTTCGTTATAAAAGCAATTCCCCGACGAAGTTCTCGCGTCTGACCTATTTACGCTCAATAAGGTTTAGGATTATGTAATTTACCATATGTTATTCCCTATCGCTTTAAAATAGATACGTTAGCGAAAATTGTAAAAGCCGCTCGTTAAAAATGCTCCAAAGACGTAGATGAAAATAAAACGAGGTGCTGCTGATCCGCAACGGTAATTCTCACACGACTAGCTCGGCCGTTCAATGCGCAGCCGCGAGTCGCCGTGACGCAGACCCCGTTCGTCCGCCGCGTGAGCGACCAATCAGAATCGCGAACGCCCCTCCTCCGCCAGCCAACACCCGTGCTTTTGTCACTCATCGCTGTGACGAATCTTCCCTCCCCCCCCTGCTGCCAATCCTAAAACGTTCTATTCAATCTATTTATATAACACAAAAAACGATCTGAAGTCCATAGTTCTCGCATTGGTATCTAAAAGGAAAAAAAGGTTCAGCACTTTTTTTTTCTTTTGCTACTTTGACACTCGTTTAATAGGAAAACTTAACGATATTCTGGCACGATCAGATTATAACACTTGCAAAGGCGTTCTTCTCGCAAACCCTCTTAGCTCGATACCCAAAATCACGAATGCGATTACGTCACCAACAGTCGACATGATTCACCTTCGGTCGAATGATAATGCTGTCTCTTATCACGTCGTCGAACATTCATATAATGCCACGATTACGCGAGACATGACTTAGAAGTCTTACAACCATCAGAAATTGGTTGGATATCTCAATATCACTCTGCCTTTATTAAAGTATTATCTCGACACTTTTGGTGGAAATTGTATGCTAATTGTAATCTCTTTGTCTTTGGTTTTTTTTTGTTCTATTTGCTGGAGAATAGAAATAGCCACTCACATTGATTAAAATTAAATCCTTTTTATGGAAAATAAATATTCACAACGGATGCAAGAAACCATATCCTGAATATATCCTAATATGGAGTTTGTAGATATCCTGATAATAAGAATTCCGCCTGCTGTTTGTGTGGATTCTTCCTATCGTATCCACGGACGCTACGCGACCCTCATACGTTATCCGCGCACGCCCCGTCGTCCATTTTCCATCTGCAATTAAATGTCGTCTAGAATCCGTCGCCGTTATCATGCACACGTGTCCGTTCGTTATTTCGCCTCCGTCGCTATATATAATTAGACCTTGACAACTTTTAAGACGCTCCTCACCTGACTGCGTAAAACCGCCGCAATCAACGAACAAGGCGGAAATACCCGTTGCCCAGCTACATTCCGCTTCTTCTACTAAGCTGGTCAAATCATGATTCTGGATGCGCATTCAAATTCTCGAGTTACATTAACTTTTGCATCATAGCGTGAAAATAAATTGATTGCGATTTAAATCTATTCAATGAGCAATATCAAACCGGGATAAATTACGTTAGCATTATGTAAATGCTATTTAAAATTTGTATTGACTCGATTACATCGCAACCAGAAAGACGACGCATTTATTGCCCGTATTCATAGCCCTTATACTTAAGGCTTGATTATGAATACGAGTATAACTCTTTGTGACATTTATTCGTATTGCGTTCTAATCGGTAAATGGTCTGTTTTCTGTTCCTGTACTAGACTGCACTAGCACTGTCTTTCTCACTTTCAATATCAAATATATATATATCTATCTCACTTCAAATTTCAAAAGTGTATACTAGTTCAACCATAGAAAACAGAACTAAAGGTATTTTTACATGATAGCGTTAAGTATTAAGCGTCCAGCATCGTGAGTTTGCTATAATTTTGATCACGTGACCTGGTTTTAGCGAATAGTAAGCTTATTCGATATTCAATGCTCGATGTTTGATGCTCCCATGTAATGGCACTTTAAGGCTGGATTTTCACTTGACGCTACGACGCTCATTTTCAGCATCAAGTGAAAACTCAGCCTAAAGCGATTAAATGAGTATGATTGGTTGATTACTTAGGTCGGAATCAAACTATGCATTGAAAAATGAGATTGAAGAGTGTAATACCCATATTGATAGACCTTACATTTATTGGCTGCTGAATATCTAAAAATAAATTTAAGGAAGCCTTAAATATAAGGCCTGATTATGAATACGAGTAAAGGGCTCCGCACAATAAAAGGAACAGAGAACAGAAAACAGAGAATAAGATTTTCAATCTATCAGAAACTGTATATTCCACAATACATGATTTCTGATAGGTTGAAATTCTTATTCTCTGTTTCCTGTTTCTTTTATTGTGCGGAGCTCCTTACTAAGATTGAAGTTTGATCAATCAGAACAAAAGAAGCCAAAATTTCTTTGTCTTCATTGAGGAAATTTCAATTTTTGATCTTTAATCTCAATCTTCAATAATCTGATTCTGGCCTGATAGATCCAACCAATCACATTCAAGGCTAGCAGCTTTGAACGCGCTCACTGCCTTCTGACACTGGCCTCGTTTCCACCGAGAGTTTAAACCGGAAATGCGTTCAACTAATGACGCGTAATGCGTGGTCTACAATGGTATTAGCAGTAGTGGATAAGATTATGAGAATAACAAATTAATCATAGTTGAATGTGAGAAGAATCGACTGTGATTGGTCAATTTCTTACTCTTCAACCTCATCTATTACTGATACTGCCATTGTAGACCATGCATGATAGGGGAATATTCGACGGTAGTTGGTTAGTTCTTACATTCTGATCCGGTTTAAACCTTCGATGGAAACTAGGCTACTGACAGCATCGCAGCCAATACGGTGACAAGAGGTTTGTTCACGTCACATGCTCCAACATGTTGTAATATGGGGTGCGTTCAGAAATTACGTCTAGGTAACTTTGGAGTGCCTAGTGTGCGCCTCAGACGTTCAGAAACGATTTAGATCACTCTATCGTCAACTTACTTTTCAATTGAATAAAAGTTGCCCCGCATACGCAATGCGCATTTCGCATTATAAATCACGTGTCTGATGAAAGTAAGGTTAAATTATACATATTTATTGAAAGATTTTTAGGATACTACGTTCAATATACAATTGACTTCTAGAACAAATATGATTTCTTTTTCGTGACAGCGTTTAATTTTACTTTACATGCCCTTTCTCAATCTTTACTGATGTTTATCAGTAAAGATTGAGAAAGGGCATGTAAAGTCATCCAATTGCATCACCCAAGGCGTTCAGAAACTTCTTCGTCTATATCACTCTGGGGTGCATCCAGAATTTATCTCACCCTACCAATACCCAGATTTCCTGAATTCACCCATGCTCCTACCATAGTTCTTACTCATTCCAATGCGTTTGATAGAGTGAGTAGGAGAATGTTGAGTGGATAAACCTAAGATTCTAAATTCTAATCCACAGCTAGTAATCTAGCAGGTTACAGAAAAGCCGTAATTATAGGTTGTCGGTTGCTGGTTGTCGATTCTATTTTAGCCTTAAGATAAATTTTCACGAGCTTCTCTAACCAGCTGTTTCAGCAACAAAAAGGATCATGTAATCAAAACAAACGCTTGAATTCGTCAATTTTGAC